TTCCTGGATTTCATCGCTTGTGTGTGTTTGTGTAAGCATTGTGTCTGTGTGCTGAGCATGAGCATTGCACAGTGTTTTTTTTTTTCAAATGAGTCACAATTTCTTGTATTGCAAGCATTAATGAAGAGTCCCACTTTTGTTAAGTTTTATTTCGAAACTGACTGAAAAAGGTGCAATTTGGTATTATATCATATCAGATATGATAATCTGCAGTCAAAGCAGCTGGTACTGGTAGGAAGCCTATTAGTGTTGAGAGAAATTTCAACCTGATTCATCTTCATTAATTATTTACTTTGATTTGACTAAACGGTAAAAACTATTTTTGGCACTAGTCCTGAGCTGTTCTACACAGGCCTATTTTCCCAAAATTTCAATGCTACACTGTCAATCAATGTCTGCTTGAAACTTACTTAAAATTTTTACATTGTCAGGCCAAAATAAAGTTGGCATGACATACTAAATTCTCTCCCGTCTTTTTTTGGTTGAAACCTTGAACGTTAAAACCACTGGATGATATTAATCAGCCAACTTGAGACTCTTTTGAAGAAGTATGAAAATTTGTCATGAGTAGTTCACCAGGATTCCTTCTGGTGTCAATTTTTCATTGGCTAGAAATTCTTCTCATTATGTAGATCTTTGGCACCAGGACTTTATATTTGACTGTACAAGACATTCCATGTCTTCCTCAATAGAAAGAATGGAGCATCTTGATGTTGAGCCTGCTTTGTTGCCAGACTCTTTTGTGGTGTGCTAAACAGTTACATTCATTAGTGTATTCACTATTGAATTGCTGCCACAGCAGTGTAATCATGGAGCTGTTGTAATCTTGTTAGTTGTGTTTGCTGAATTGTGGCAGTACAGCCCCTATGTTTGCTTGCCAATTTGCCAATCAATTAGCAGTTACACTGTAGCTGCAAGTGACACAGGTGTTCTTGATCAGGGAGGGCTGTAGGCAAAATATTTGATCAGGGTTTCTTTGAAGAGCAAGCTTCATGGCATGAGGTAGAGGAAGCACTTTATTGTGACTGTGAGTGTTATGTTTTGCTCTTTTAGCACTCTTGTTTTTTTGGCGGTATTGGTTGTAGCATGTAGAGCTAGGGCCCTACAGCTGGGTCCTAGCTCTTTGGTTGTAGTGTTAGTTTGCTCGATCATGGAGGAATTCCATGGTTTGCTGGAGAGTGGCTTGTTTTGATGCACATGGTTATACATGACTTTGGATTGAATTTTTTTTTAGTGTACCTTGAAATTGTAATTGTGTTGAATTTACTTTGACATTTTCCAAATTAGTCAGTTGTGATTTTAGTGCAGTATACTTTCAGTATTTTTCTAGTCATGCTTTGCCCAGCAATTTTTGGTTTTCTTCTATTTCTTACAGTTAAATTTTTGGGTGAACTGTTTAGGCCAAAAAAAAAATAGTTCTGCTTCCAATAACACACATATGTATGGCATTTGAAAATGGGGTAGGTACAAATATGTAGGTAGGAATTTTGTTGGGGCAATTTTTTGTGTGAACGATCATATGGAGGTGTGTGCGTGTAGCAAGGGTAAATTGAAGGTAGTAATTGATGATCTTCAAGTTTTTTTCCTCGTTTTTTTTTTTTTCGCCAAAAAAATTAGGGTAGGGGCTGTCAAAATAGGGTAGGTAGGGTAACCGGAAGCAGAAGTATTATTTTTTGGGCCTTACATGTGCACGTTTGTGTCTGAGAGATGCTCAGCACAGATTACAGACATTGATAAACCTTTACCAGGCTGGTATCAATTTCTTTTTGGAACAAGTCTCAGTTAAATTGTAGCATACCTACAGTTGCAAATGCAGTATCAAAGTACTGGTTTGCCCTCATGTTGAACCTGTTGGATAATGTCACAGTATCCGGCAGACATTTTTGTATACATGCACATGAACTGTGAGTGAACCAAGTTTCAGTCTGGAAAAGAAATGCTTTGAAATTTTAGACAGGCCCTCCAAAGTCTTAGCACACACTTACACCATCCCTGCATTGTCAATGTTATTTTTTGGAGTTTGTGTTGTCCTGAGGGCGGGGTTCTTACTTGGAAAGATCTTTTACAATTCCATTGTTGTTTGTATGGAGCCTACACTTGAATGAAGTGCTTTTTTTCCGAAGTAGTCACACTGTGCAAATACATGTACCATACAGCTGTATTAAATTACTAGAGCGCTAACTCTACATTCTTGCGCGCGGAGACTCTTTGAAGGCGTTGCGCTGTTTGCGTAGAGCAACATGACACGCTCATTTGCTGATTGTGGTGATGACGCACCGGTATGGAATACAAACGCAGATAAACGTACAAAATACGTACACAATTTCTAATTCTCCATGGGCTTGTGTACAAACAGGGATGCGCCCAGCAGGCATCACTTTGTACATGAGTGGCAAATACTAACCATTGAGCCAATGTATGAAGTGCTTGTTTTCTGAAGTACCGGTAGTCGCATTGTGCAAATGGCAAGCTGTAACTTTGTTCTTTCCTTCACTGACTAAATCCGTGTTCGTATTTGATTTTTTGGTAAACTTTACGTAGACTGTTGTGAACTTTTCAAATTAAGTCCAGTGCGGACTGACCATCAGTACACTTCCCTAATTGTCAAGTGTTGACTTTTGATTGTACGTTTACGCTCCACAGTGGTGCATTTTACAGGACCAACTGGGTCGCTGAAGAAGTGCATTGTTTAAGTAACGAATGACTTTCTGCGGACTGAAATTATCCAAATGGGTATGCACGGTAAATAACCACAATGGAATGTTAGCAATCATGCAAGGTGTTTAGCATACATTACTGGCTGCTCATTGTCTTAACCTGATATCCAGTCATTTCACTTATTATCTACATTTTTGCTAGCTATTTCAGACTTGGTGTGGTGCGCTGTGGAACATGGTCATTATTGTCTGTGACCTCCATCTGTCGGAAAGCAGTTGTTGTTGGTCCACAAATATTAAAATTGAAATTATTTGGGAAAAAAGTAAACGTGCCTTTAAAAATAATATTGAAAACGAAATTAAAATAAGGTTTCTAAACTACATAAATACCCTACTACTCACATGTAGGGTACGGTAGGTTGACGAGCGAGATTATTTGTTTTTTTTAATGTTGCCTTTTTATTTCGTATTTTCTATTTTTATTTTATTACTTTTTTTGGGGGGGGGGAGAGGATTATCTTGAAATTTGAACCAATGTGTCCTTTATAAAAGAATTTATTCTGTCCCCTGTCAATGATTCATCTAGTTTTCTAAAGAATTAATTTTCAATTTTTCAGTCTCAAGATATTTGGAGTGCAAAAATAACCTCATTCTCAGGTTGAACAATCACTGGATAAGGCGTTGTGCAAATAAATGATTGCATTTGCAATGTAACCTATTACAACCAAAACAGGTGTGCCTGGATTCCAAACGACAGCCCGTATAGTGATCAGATATTGTTCGAGTATCATTATAATGAAGTTAGATTCTGCCAGTCAAAGTGACGAAGAGGGGTCTGGCGTTGTTTGGGACTTTGCCAAACTGCGATTCTCGTGAACGCGGACTTTGGATACGAACACAATAGAAACACGGAGAGCGGTGTCAAAAAATGTCAGCGTCACAGATTGATCAGTGTTTAATCATTGACGGCCACTTGTATCCACAGATAATTGAAACAGAATTTTCATTACGGAATGCTTAGTAACCTGACGCTATAGCGTTATTTGTGTAGGGATCCAATTGTATCTTTAAAAAAAATGATATGGAAATTGTCGTGATTTTAGTTGGTTTAAATTTGTGCTGGTTTTAAACATCTCAATCGTGAGTATTGATAATTTGAGTTATTAATGGTAACGTGTTTCAAAATATGTGTTACAAATTGCTTAAATTGATGATTGTATTGCAAGGGGGAAAAGGAAAATGGGATGTTTCGTACTTTTGTGATCTGGTATTCCCAGCTTTTCAAGAACAGCCGCACCCATGCTAAACACAATAGTTGTGCATGGTTTCTAAAGGTCTAAGTGCCAGTATGTGCACAGTATGCGTCTCACACACAGTGTGTTACGTCGTCTAATTTTGGGCAGCACAGACAAACATGAAAATTATCCAAAATGGTCTGGTTTTGAACCAACTTTTTAAAAGAGAGTGTTTTTCTGTTCTGGCCTGGGTGTGTAAATAAGTCCATAAACTGATGTTAGCAATGCCAACTTAGATAAACCCTAACCCCGAAGTCATTTCTGCTGGAAAGCTTGTCTGAGTCGGTTAAATTGCATTTAAATTAACCAACGCATACTATGTACATTGTGCACATTTACTTCAACAAAGCTGGAACAACAAGCCCCCATAATGTAGCGGTGCTACCGGAATGTATGTGTATACAATGTAGCTGCAGAATCCATAAAATCCCTGCCAATCAGCTGTTGCTTGTAGATGTCAGCAGATGTTTTTTTTAAACGAGCAAAACAAAGATCATTTTGACTTTGATCTGTGCTGTAGAGAGAATGTTATCTCATTTAAATGGTTATATTTTCCAGTGTCTGCTATTGTCCTCCATTTTATTGCATTGTCGTAAATTGATTCACAACGCACTAATGTCTTTATTCCAGGTCACTGATGCCAACTTGACATTGTCTGAAAACTCCCTAGAGCCTTATTAGCCCTCAACATTTTTCTAATACTGTGTCATAGAACTACATGCACAAAATATCATAATGGATAAGTCACTGTAGAACTCTATACTAAAAAATGATATTTAAGTTGTTCTGATGTTCTAAAGTCCTCACTGAAGCGGTGCGACCAAAATCATGTGCTTACTAATACTGTGTCATAAAACTACATGCACAAAATATCATAATGGATAAGTCACTGTAGAACTCTATACTAAAAAATGATATTTAAGTTGTTCTGATGTTCTAAAGTCCTCACTGAAGCGGTGCGACCAAAATCACGTGCTTGCAATTATTTGACTGGAACCCCTGGATGATTTTGTTATGTGTCTAGATGAATTTTGTGTTCTTCTTACAGGGGCATGAATGGATTCAATGAAAGTGCACTGGCCGGTTGGCTTGCTGATGACGTTATTGAGTAAGTCCTGCTTCTTCTGTTTTCCATTTTTTTCTGGGGGGGGGGGTGATGGGTTGGTACTGGGCCTCATTCGATGCTAGGGACAACCTTTTCTCCTTTGTTTTCTTGTCTTTCCTGCCGTTAACATTTCAAAAATCAGTGGAGGGAAAGGGGATAAGTAGACTTGGCATAGGAGGAGGCAAGATATTTTTTCGGACTTTTGCCTGAAAACACAGATTTTGAACCTGAGAGAAAGACATGAATATAGACCAATCTAAGTTGCCCACTTTTTCCCATGGAGGGTGTGAAACACACCCATGGCTTGAGCTGCTTATGTTGGTCGGTTGGTTTGTTTGTTTGTTGGTTGGTTGGTGGACAGTTTTAACTCGGCCATATATTGTATTCATGCAACTCGAGTATTCCAGCTTTGCATTCGAAGACTGAAAATACTGATGCGCATGTGTCTAGTTTGCATAGTTTTGCATATTAGATCACGCCCCATTTGAGTGCACAGACGATGCCATATTAAAGCCGTCTTCACACGTTACCCAGCCGCTGTGGGTTGTACCACTTGGTACTTGTTGTGATTACTGGGGTGGTTTTCCACCATTATAGGGATGCTCCAAAGCTTGCTCTGGTATTTCATCCAATGAATGCACTCGCCTTTAGTGGTCAGAGCTTTTACAATGCATGCGCGATGGACGCTCAGGCAAGGAAGTGTCCCAGTAATGACGCATCAATTGTCACCATAATTTCAAAATTGGATTGATGAATAAAACAAAATGCATCGTTTCATTCAATTTCCAGACGCTTTTTAAATGACGATCTAGCATAGCATGTCTTCACATGTCTCGTACCGGTACGTGTGAACCCTTGCCAAATGACTTATTTTGGGGTTAACTCATGTCCTCTGTACCACCCATTTCCCCAAGAACTTGACTTTTGATATCCTTGTCTGCAGGATGCACATGACCGATAAGGATTCAGTAGTGAGATGGTTGCAAGATCTGAGGACCATGACAGAATGCGAGTGCATGTGCATACTGCAAGGCAAGCCCATCCGGACCTCGGCACACGACATGGCTAAGGTCACCTCCAGTGCACGAGGTTTGTCATCTTTGCCAGCGTCTCTGTCAAGAATTTTGTACTTTGCCAACAGAAGTGTTGTTCACTGACTGATTTTTAGACTGGCTTAAAAACTAGAGTCGGACAAAACCAAATAGTATTAGGCGCCACTAATGTTGTCCCTAATAGATTTTAGTTTCAAACAAGTGTCTTTTTTCTATACACTTTTCATTGACTGGGCTCTAGTGTCATTTCGAGTGACTATAACAGTCTTGCTCTAAACTGTTTAAAACATTGAACTTATCAGGTAGGCCTCTATATGTATTTCATTCAAATCTTTGGAAAAATATATTTTGGTACAACTCTTGAACATGTTGAACACCAATCTGAGACAGGCTTTAATTAGGGGCGGATCCAGTATTGTTTCAAAAGGGGGGGGGCGTGACATTTTGCAAACCTGTGTGGGAAGTTTTGTTGTGACACACCAACTCGTGAAGCCACGGCGTGGGGTTCGGGGCCCGCCTAAGAGCCCCGAAAAAGTTTTGAACTTTAGAAGCTCTCTGGTGCATTTTAGAGCAAATCTGGGGGTCTCTGCGGCAGATTTTTCCTCAAAATTCAGAGGAGATTTATAATATTTTTAAAAACAAATATTGAATAATCATTTCACAAACATTACAACTTCCTAAACTGGAAAAGTCGCGCACACGGCACAGTATCGGTGTGCATATAACAGCACTGTGTATTGTGTGGGACCCGGAAAAACCCATCTCGTTATAAATATTTATTTTAATGGAAAATACATACACAAAAAAGAGAGATCACGTTCTGGGGGAATTAATTTAAAGAAATTCTCTTTCTCCATTGATGTTCGTTTGGTATTTTCTGTGATCCAAATTCAACGCACGAAACAGTCGCAATGTATATAATCATGTAGCCCGTAGTCACTGGTTCTGGTCCTACATCATAGTTTTGATTCTGTTGGGAACGTGGTGGGAACCAGTGAATGGCGATGGCACTGCACTGCACTGCCGCATGCCGTACGGAACATGGTACAGCGGCATGGCTTCCATGTCGTGAATGTGCACTTTGATGACACATGCGTCAGAAATACAGGCTTTTTCCATCAAGATTTAGTATGTCCAGGTGAAATTAAGAATAGCTTGTCTAACATTTTTTTTCTGAAGAAAAAAGAAGGGGGCGTGCGCCCTTCACGCCCCCCCCCCCCCCCCCCCATGCATGGGTGTTTCGGTGGGGGGGGGGGGGGGAATTTTGGGGTATATATCCCCCTCCCTCACTTTTTGACCAACGGGGAATGGGCCATTGGATCATCTCTCTCAAGATTTTGGTTGTAAAAAAATACAATAAAATCATTTTAGCTAATTACAAAAAAGAAAAATTGAATATTTACTGGGCATAAATTTCCAGTATTAACTGCTTGGGAAGTTTCAGGATGTTTTTGGGCGCCATCACCCTCAGTCGTAAACACAGATTTGTGTCACTGGTGTTATGGCAACCTTTGGGTTCCAGTGATAACGATAATGCATTCTCTTTCTTATTTATGTACAGTGTCATGAAGCAGTTTGTAATAAAAAAAATTGTGTTCCTACAATACAAAAAAGTCCAAAGTTTTAATCCAGATTATCTGGACTAACATCTGTATCTTTTATCTGTAATTTCATTGTAATGTGCGCTCATAATCCGATGTAATCTTGGAGATTACATCTGGATTAGACCCTCATCCTTGCTTTTTGAAAAGAAATTATCACTTGTCAAAATTAAGCTGTTAGCTTTAAGACTACCTGTACAACCTTTTGTAAACTGCAAGGCGTCTTAGAATTTTGCTGTTTACAAAAACCTTGAGAAATGTCAGTGACAGTTTCTTCTTTGTGTGATTCTCATCCTTCCAAGGGCATTTTTGTACAATAATGACTTTTTTTTTTTAATTTGATGTGATTTTTTTTCTTTGTCAGATAATATTTACATCCTCAGGCAACGAGCCAGTTCTATCTCAGCAGATTTTGCCAAATTATACTAGTAAGTGTTTCTGAATTATTTATTAGAAATTATGCAAAAAACTATGGTTTCATTCATATGCAAGCCCATTACGTTTGATGTGGTTTCTGGTGGATTTGACATAGAAGAACACAGCTACGTGAAGGACTATAATAGCTACATGTACATTGTAGAATTTGCATTGTGTCAGTGTCCTCTTGCACAATGCCATAAAGCTCTTTTTCTGTAAAAAGAAAAAAAAAGCATTCTGAAAATAGAAGAGAAGGATTTGACGTGGAAATATCCACAGAACAGAAGATGAGCATAAAAATGATGTACATGTACATTTACATGACCATGTAGACCTACAGTGTGATAATGAAGTAGCACATTTGCAAGGTGATGAGCAACGTGAGTTTGTGTATAAAAGTAAAGAACAAGTGGTAAGGCAAAAAAAAAAAAAATAGTCCATCTCTGGTCAGCGCGTGCGTCGACCTTTTTTTTTACCACGGAAGCTACTTAACAGCACCCTCTATTGCTGCACCTCCTCAAATGTTTGTACCAAGGAGCACCAAGGAACGGGGAGATTGCGCCAAATAATGGAGGGCACCAAGGCAAATTATGGAGGACACCAATGTATATGCATGAGGACACAAAAAGCAAAATAGTACCCACCTTGTCTGTACAATTCAAGCTTGAAAAAAAAAAAAAAACACGTCGCCGCATCAATTCCGGAACTTCGGTCTGACCAGAGACCGACTATTATTTTGGGGGGCCTAATGTGGATATTTTTGTTTTCTCAAACAGTAAACTTGATTCAGGTTCTTGGGATCAAGTCCACTGGTTGTGTCTTTCATTGACCATTCGGCTACGCACATTCCTACATGAGTGCACCTCCTATGTCCCCACCATGCCACTGCATTTGTTCCAAGTAGGTATTACAAATACAGGAGTAACTACACTTTATAACCTTTTTCCCCTTCTTAAACCTAATCATTTGTGCAATAAATACATAAAATATTAAAGTAATTTCATTTTTCCTGCACAGTCTGTTTAGAACATTTATGATTGAATTGATTCCTGTTAAGTTGAAATGCTTCCAACAGTAACATAATATAGTCAACGACAACAGGATCAGCATGTCAGTTGCTGTGTGGTTTAAGTCTCAGAAAAAGAGAATCTGTGGTTGAGTTTAGAAGAATCCTCATATACTTTTGACAGAAGTCTGAGTTTTTGTTCGTTATGCTCACATTTCTTCCCTATTTGTTTTGTTACAGCGACAACAGACAGTTCTTGAGGAATGTGGTCGACTTGTGAAGCATGCAGAGAGGTACGAATATATTGCCTTTTTCCCCCTGAGAACTAAAAAAAAAGAAGAGTGTAGCATGGATGTGTGACTGTCAAGAGAGTGTTTCAAAGTCAAAACAACATTCTTTGGAGTCATGTTGCCTCCTGATCTTGAGCATTGAATTCGTGGTCTGCGGGTAATTCTGCAGGTTGTGGGTTCGAGTCCAGCCTGGGGTTATGGTGCGTGTGCCCTTGGGCAAGGCACTTGTCACTCTATACTCGTTGTAAGGGCAGAGATGGTTATTGTGGTTGATTTTAGCTGCTTTGCGCCAAAATGGCAGCATCGAGCTGTATACTTCCCAGGTTCAGGTACATGTAGCTGAGATTGTGTTTGGAATGTTTCATTGGCCCAGCGAGAAGGTTTATAATGATGTAGCGCCTTTAGCACCAATACTGTTGGATACCTGCGTTTTATAAATACACATTATTATTATTATTGTTTGCTTCCCTTTGAAATCATAACTAGTCCACAAAGTTGAGAAAGGCAGGATGAAATGGAATATGTTTCAACTGAAAATATCCAGATTCCGTTGTAACAGATAAACACTATTTCATTCAGCACTGAATCCGATGGAATCTTGGGGCGTTACATTGCAGCATTTTTATAAGTTGAAGAACTGGATCAACTGTTAAGAGGAAAAGCACTCTGACAAAGACGGCTTTGAAGTATGAAATTCACTGCCAATATGAATAAGTTGCTCTTTTTATGTGGCACAATTGTAAAACCAACAGAGCATGACAACTATTGTCCAGAGCTGCAAAGTAAAAAGAAATCTAAACTCAAAACTGATTGTCCTTCTTGACCTTTTTTTTAATACAGTACAACGTCTGAGTAATTTCGAGACTCTTGGGTCTTTAAATGATATGTCTGGGGCTATTTTTATTTTTCTTGGCGACGTGCAGAGTTTTCATGTTTAACATTTTTTAATGTGATATTTACTGAAATCTGAATACATTTAATAACTAAGTATACAATTTTGATATTTGTAGCCAATTTTAATTTCCAGGCATTTAATTTCCTTTTCCAGTTGCATTTATTAACTCACTGTTGGTTTTCATGATTCATTTAAAATGTTATGGTTTTTAAAAATGTTTATTAAGTTTTGACCATGTGAGGGATTTAGCCTTAATCCTCAAAATTTGTATTTACCTATAGGGCCCTAAGGGAGAGAACTGTTCACCCAAAAATGGTTTGGCTATCCTGGTAAAGTAATACGAAATAAAGACATTTATAGACTTCAAGAATCTTCAGTGAAAGTTGTGATTGGATCAGTTAATCAATCCTTCTTTTTTTTAATTTACAGTTTTGAAGAGTTGAACGGTACTCTACCCCCAGCGTTACCGACTTTGAACGTACTGAGCAGTTTAGGGAAGGCGTTCAACGACTTGGTTCACATGGTGCAAGGCATTCTCATTCAGGTCAGAAAACCTCTTTTTAAGTTATTGTTTAGTGATGCCTGTGAGATAAGTAAACTTTTAAGTTTCTTGGGACACGATGCTTTAAACTGATTTCTTTGTTCGTTGGAATGAAAGTTCCTTCACGTGGGTGAGAATGCATTCAGAACTTAACATAAATAAAACATTCATGTCAGAATTTGTCCAACTTAAACTGTCGCCCCTTGAACAAAAACAATGACAAAATGGGTATGTAAACTGCAGGCTAGCTCAGTTGGTAGAGCACCGGAATGATACATTTTATAAAAGCAGGTTCAATTTCTCTTTTAAATTCAAAATAATTAACCTAAACTGTGTTCAGCTTTATAAATTCGTAACTCAAAAACTCGCAACTTCACAAATTCCAAAGTTTCGTTCCCTTTCACTCTGATTAATAACAAGGCTTTAGGATGTACATAAGGATGATTTTGTGAGCATTGCATACTCCGTCTTTTCAATAATTTGGAAGAAAAAAAATAGATTACTAGGTTGATATCTCCATGACAACTGAGCTTGCTGTGGTCAGTTGGCTGGTTCAAATCTGATACAGCAGCAGGAAGTTATTTAAATTAAACATTAAGTTGTTTAAAATTCCCGTTTCCCTGATGCAAACATTCCATCTTATAAATCAAGATGTCAATTAATCTCACCATTACCAGGTCGCTTTACGCACAGAAACAATGCACATTTGATAATCTTGATTTGTGTTTTCGTTTCAGACGGTTGTGAGGAGTATTCACGAGTCCGCCAGTGAGTACAACATCAAGATTGCCATCAACTCCATACACTGTCTGTCTGAAGACGACAGTGAAATCAGAAGGTTACTTGCCAAGGTAAAGTCTCATTTATGGTTAACACATAAGTTGTTTTACTTCTCAAAAATAGGTGCAGGGATGAATTTTGACAGGATTTTTCCCTATTTTAGGATTTGTTTTTGTCAGGACTTTCCCTGATTTCAGGATTTATATAGAATCCCTTTGGAAATTTGGAATTCTGTAGGTGTTACCGTAAAGGTGTTTTTACTTATAAAAGTTTTAATGGGACAAAAGTTTGTAAGGGGTGCCTTTAAAGGGAAGGTACAACATTTGCAAACATCAAAAAACGAAATGATCAAATTATCACAAAAACCCTTACTGGATTGTTAGGGAATGACAGTCTATAAAAGCATCCTGTAAAATTGTGGCTCCTGGTGTTCTGACATTTGCAAGAAAAATGGTATTTTTCCAACGCTGGTCAGCCGACGAGCATTGGAGAAAACTGGCTTATTTTCAAAACTGCTCCTAATTTTTCATATTTAGTTATTTTGCATTTTCTTTGCAATTGATTACACACCTGTGAAGAGGTACAAGCCTGCTAGACTGATTCTCTGACCTTACAATTCCCCAAAGCCTACATATTGCTCCGTTTCATCTTAAGTGGGGTCAGGGAACCAGACTACAAGAAAATGTTTGGTTTTCTTGGTTTTTCCAGCATCTACAAGCCCAAAATGTGAAACAAGTCAGTTTAACAATATTTGCTGTAACGTTCATTTTTCAGACTACAAGAAAATGTTTGGTTTTCTTGGTTTTTCCAGCATCTACAAGCCCAAAACGTGAAACAAGTCAGTTTAACAATATTTGCTGTAACGTTTATTTTTTTGCAAATCCATTTATTTCTGAAAATTGTAGCAAAAGCAAATGTTGTACATTCCCTTTAAGCAAATATGAACATATACCGTAGACCCTATGTTGCCCTGGGGCCACTTGGTGACCCTTAAACTCTTTGCCGATTATTGCTGTGGATTTTTCATTCCATCCAATTTCATTCCTGGAGGGTGTTTCGGCAAAGACTTTGAAGCTTCTGAATTTAATTAATCCTTCTTATACTGTAATGATTTCAGTTGCTGTATTCTAATTTCTATGCATGTGCTCTGATTGAAGGGTTTCAATATTTTTCCCCGTGATTTTGAAAGATTTTTTTTTGAAACTCTTGCCTCATTACTGTCACAGGAGGGCGCTATTCCAGCTTTACTGCAGCTCTGCCAACAAGCATCTCTCAATGCCATGAAGCCCATGGCTCTCAAGACCGTGGCTAACCTGTGCAATGTTGCAGAGGGAAGACAGGAGTTGGAGAGGGTGAGACCAAATGAAACCAAATTAGAAATACTCAACATCTTGATAATGTGAGCCTATTTTGCCAGTTTATAACTCAAGCGGATATGTGTATGGGAAGTGGCTTACAAAGTTACATCACTGCATCGGAAAATGTACATGTCCCCTATGCAAAATATTTCACCAAGAATTCTTGTATCTTTTCAGGCAAGCGGCGTGGAATACCTTAGTGAAATCTTGTCTTCTCCCACGGCAACGGAGTCAGTCAAGGCCGAGGCAGCGTCAGTCATTGCACAGATCACGTCACCAAATATCGACAATTACCATCACTTACTAGGGTTCATTGAGTACATGGAAGACTTGCTGAAAGAATTAACTGGTAAGATCGCCGGCCAGCAGTGTAATGAAGATCACTAGTCAGATTCATTGTGAAATCCTTCACTAGTCAACTCATAAACCAATCACAACTAACATCATTAGTAACAAGGTGCGCACAATAGGAAAGAAAGGGCTTCGACGTCAACCCAGCAGCTTTTGAATTTAATCAAGTCTGAGTCATCTATGATTGACTTGTGATGTTTTATTTGTTTTCAATAAATCATTTGCATTAACACTTCCTCAGTTCCCAAACATTTGTAAAGCTCATTCCTTCGTTAAAAAAACCACACAACTGGTTATGAAGTTGGTTTAAAATGGTTGGCCCTCCATTTTAATATTGTACATGTGGCCTACATTGAAAAATATTGAGTCGGTTATATTAGTGGGAGCTTTGAAAATTAAATCTGATTATCTTGTAAGTTGTCGTAATTTTCTGCCGTCAGCGTTATCCGGGTCGGCTTCGTCAAGTTCTGTCTTTGTCATCGCGACTTCTGCAATAGCCAACATCACCTTCATGGACAGTATGGCCTGCGATTGCCTGGCCAGCTTCCACACAGCGAGGGCGCTAGTCAAGGGCTGCAATAACGGCATGGCCAACACCTTGTACTGCAAAGACCAGGTATAGAAATTATTTACATATTTGTTAGGTTCAATATTCCTTTCAAAGTTAGGATTATATTTTCATTAGTCAAGACTGACCCAGTGAATTGTCTGACAGAAATCTGACCTTTTCCATCATAAAAACAGTGCTTTACATTTTACCACTCTGCCTAAAAAGTTGTATGATTATACATAGTAAAATAATGAATCTCACCAATTATGATTGGACACTTTGAAGCAGATATGCATGCATAAGATTTGAATTACAGCTAGTTTTGCTGGTCCCAGAGGGCCAGCCTAAAGTCTCTTCGTGCCTATCTCACTGACTGACTGACACTTGTGAGTTGGCAGTGCTATTGTATAGGATTACCCTGTAATGCCAGTGAATGGGTCAATCCGGCCCATTGTGTAGATCATGCATGCAGGAAAAGACTTGCAGTGAATAGCCATTCTGAATCAATGGAATAGAATGATGTGCACTCTGGGACCAGCTTTACTAGGCTCGCCTAGTTTCATTAAAGAAGACAAATTCTTCTCTTATATTAAAGATGAGAAATGCTTCTCTCATATCAACTCTATGGAATAAATAGTGAGTGGTCTCAAAGTAAGCAAGTTGCAGTTATGGTGAAACCTTCTGCTGGTATTTTCAGGTAGCAACGATACTGGCCAACATGGCCGTCACGGACCAGTGTCGGAAGGAGATCATGGTCTCGGGCGGCACGGAGCTGTTGGTGGACTTTCTCCACACGAGGGCGCTAGTCCACCCCAGCAGTGCCAAGAAAGGTCTGAAGGGTAGCGGGCTGAGCGGGGGCTGCAGTGGCAGCGGTGGCAAGCAGGATGTGGTGATGTCATCGTCTTGTGAGAAGGTGCACCAGAAGGCGGCTATAGCCTTAGCAAGATTGGCCAGAGACCAGGATAGCGCTGAGCTCATTCTGGAATTAGATGGTGAGTTTTACTCATATTCCTTGTACCACTCCCACCCCCCCCCCCCCAAGAAAAGCCGTCATGCCTGTTACTCTCTTCTATTCTATGGTTTTAAAGATTCATTGTTGGATAAATACTATGTAATACGGTGCAGTACAGGCGGTAATGGATTGATTGCATCAGTATCATTGCATCAGTATCATTGCATCAATATCAGTTCAATCTTATTGGACTTTATAGGCACCGATGGGTTCTACATAGTTTGAGTACATGACGGGCTGGCATCCATATGTTGACATAGCCTAGGGGCAATTCCATGGTTACTCACGTTACATTTTTGATGTACTTTTGAGTTTCCTTGGGCTGTAATTACCTTACTGAAAAGGTTGAATAACTGTTATCCCCATGGTACATAGAGTAGACCTAGACCTTCCTAAGCACCAAAGATGACATCCAGAAAAATGTGTTATGTATGATAAACAAGATGCACAAAATCGGTTACTCACGTTACGAAAATGTAACATGAGTAACTGTGGAATTGGCCCTTGGATATCCTAGGTGCAGGAATGAACTGGTTCAAAAATTCCTATAGGAAATGGGGTAAGAAAGATCAGGCCCTCATTTCATCACTCAGATCAGAGTTTAACCATCCAAAGACATACCTGAAATGTTGCGAAGCAGTTTGATTATGGTATTCTTGCATAACCATTTCAGATGTAATTAGAAAGAGTTTGAATGCCTGTTGTGTTTTTCTTTTCTTTGTTTTTGTACCTGTGCAGCGATACCGAGATTAGTGGAGCTTTGCTGCAACAGACGAGAGAGGAACGACAGTGAGCCAGTCCTTGTTGCCTGCCTTGTAAGTTAAAAGGTCTAAAGTAAAGAAAGCAAATTGGGGTTGGGGTTAATGTTTCTTGAAAAAGAACTTCGTCTGGATGGTTAAGTTAAAAGTTTAAACTCAGACCTACATTTTTGTACCGTTAGGCCTTTGCATGTTTTAGTCCTCTGATGTTCAGTTTCAATAATATGACCTCATTTTGGACAATCCTTTACCCTTCTGTCTTCCCCAGGCTGCATTGAGAAAGCTCCACAACCTCCTGGGCCCTTCCGTCTTCAAGTCTTCCGATGTCGACCAGCTCATCAAACCAAGACTCATCGACTCGTACCTCATGTGTTCAGCAACTAAAGAGAGTTTTGTATGACATCTGGCCAGAAATGTGCACATATGTATTCTACACCTTTGTTGACTGGCGTTCCAGAGTCGCACTGAACAAAACAGTTTTAGGAGCGACTTGAGTTGACCCAACTAGGTTTTAGTTTCAGACGAGCAAACTCATGTTCCATTGACTATGGGCTCCGTGCGCCGACAAGGGGGCGCCCTTTTACCTAGCAACGACGTCCCATGGGCGGGACATTTCGCTGGTTGACGCGCACCGTTCCTTGTGTGTGACGCACGTACACCAGGGGATTTGTACTATGTACACGCAGTGGCCGCGCTTTGCGGCAAATGAATCGCAGTCAGGCAAGATGGCGTCGGTCAGTCACCCCCCAACTGTACTCTCTTTGCCGGTGAGGGGGTACTTGTGAACGGAGCGGATACTCTGGGCCCAATTTCGTAGCGCTGCTTAACAGTTTGCAGAAAACTTGTACTTACCAAAGCAGAAAATCATGCCGCTGCTTAAGCACTATTTCGTGCTAACAGTTGCACGCACATGTCGATTTCTAGTGTTACGTCACTGATTTAAGCATCCTCTTCCTGTGTGGTCTAGCGTGCTTTTGCTTACTGCTTACGGTCTCTATGAAATAGACGGTGACTCGGTTAGCACAAAATTGCCTGTTAAGCAGCGCTATGAACTGGGCCCTCGAGTCATTCTAAACAACATTTGATAATTTGACATTGTTTCAAACATCAAACATTTATGTACTTAATTCAATTCTTTGGAATAATGAAGATTGCCAGTGGGAACTGGCTGTCATTGTTTTATATGACGGGTGTTATTTATTGGGTTTCATTTCGCAACTTTGGCTTGAGTAACTTTTTTTCAATTTTTTGTCTGAAAGACGCATGGCCCTCTCACTTAAAGGCATATAGGATCATTTTCATTTATCTCAAAAGTAACCTATCAAATTATTATTGAAAATTTTACTTAGGTAAAACATCATACTGGAACTAAACACCCTGTGAAATTATTCTGTCTGGCTTACTGTCATTTAGAGGAAATCAAGACATGAAGGTGATTTCCAATGACCAGCCAACTGACTGATTTTTGAGAGTAAAGAGTGGTTTTGACAAAACCTTGTTTCGTGATCAAAAGGTAGTGAATGGTGTTTCACTGTTTTCTTGAAAAGTGTAAAATCCACTGAGCTGAAATTTCAACAGGTAATAGGTTTTGAAACAAACAAGGTTGACGCGCATGATTAAAATCGACGTGCGCGCTGACCAGAGACCGAGTATTTTTTTTGGTGGCCTTATTGGAAACGAGCGAAAGGCATGAAAAACAGTGATCCTATCTGCATTTAAAACATGAGCCATCTTGAGCTTGAGTAAATGACTGTGCTCATAAAGGTGCCATATACTTGCATGTAAGAAGTCCATAAAGTAATCTTCCAGAAATAATTCTGAGTATATACATCCGTGAACATAGACTGCACGTGATATCCATAGCAATATTGTGGCATAACTTAAAGATGAAAGTGTATATAAGATTTTTTTGTGTATTTATTAACGCATGTAAAACTTTTACAAGAAAATGTATTTGAATGTTTTTGGTATGTATATATACAGATGCACATGTATACACAAAGAGATGTTGTGAGATATATATCAGAGTTATTATTTGTAGGTTTTGGAACAAACTTATAGAAATATTATATACTCTTCACAGATCTTCCACTAGCTTTTTGGAAAAAATGGAACCTATATTGTAGGCAAAGAGTATGTAGCTTGTTTATGGTTCTTGGTTTTAACATACAGCTATTTCAAATTACTAGAGCGCTAACTCCTCATTCTTGCGTGCGGAGACGCTCTGAAGCCGTCCTGGGCGCAGACATTTTGAATGTGCATGTTTGTAGAACATAATGAAATGAGATGGATTGAATTTTGAAAGTGTACTCTAAATGCAACACGCAAGTAGAACGTATGCAAATAACTTTAGTGCGTCATGACGGTTTAAAAAAAAAGTCTGCAGCGGATACGCGCACGCGTTGCGCTGTTTGGGTAGAGCAAAATGAAAAGCTGTACAAAAGCCAAATGTGTTGAAAAGGATTCTGCAAGAGTCAGCGCTCTAGTAATTTTAATACAGCTCCATGGTTAATACTCTCACAATGTGCTGGATAGATAAACAAGTTTAATCCTTTTCCATCGTTCCGATAACTGTTCTGAGCCATGCTAATTGATTTTGAGTACAATGTATCACATTTACCTGACTTATTTTTGCTCAGCTCATAAGTTTGCTAAGCGGTATTTTCCAATTAGCAGCTGTGATAGTATTGGTCCTCTGACAATAAGGGGATGGCACTTTGAAGTGGTTGAACTGTTTATCGATTTAGATTTGTCATCACAACCTTGTTGGGGTTTGCAAGCAGAATTCATAAATACCCGACAGTGTAGCAATTACTATTGGTCAAGGGCCCGTCACCAACAAAACACCACTGCGTTCTGTGCCACATCGCGCAGTACACAAGGTGCGCGCCAATTTCCATACAAGATGATTTTTGTCACTATGCGCGCGAGACACACGACATTCCACAGACACGACCAGAGGGGCGTTTCACAACAAAATCATTGGAAATTTGTGAATTTTTGACTTGTTTTGACTTTTTGACTGGAAGGTATTTATGAATGGGAATAAATGTGTTTGGCCGGTATTAAAGCCCGAGTCCATCATTTGCAGCTATCCAAAAAGTAACTGGCGTAATTAGTGTTGAAAAACATACTTGGTTGGAAGATAGTAAGAGGACTAAACTCCCTGTGAAATTATTCTTTATGACAAGCTGTCATTTTGAAGAAATCAACAAAAGAAGGCCTTTCCAACGGTGCTTCTTAAGACGCACTGTAGAAAATTCAAACTAGTAGTTCGTTTTGTTATTCGGCAAAGCGCGCGCAAGCATTGGCACGACGCACACGTTCACGCGGTTGCTATAATTCTTCGGATCAGTGCGTGACATCGCGTAGCTGCAATTAGCTCAGTGAGAACGTGTCTCGGACGCTGAATTCAGGCCCAATTCAAAACATGATTCAGCAACTTTTGATTTGAAATCGAGATCCTAGAATGTTGTTTTTCTCGAAAAATGCAGCTGAAGCCAAGCTGAAACTTCATCAGATTGGTTGTTCAGCATCCTTCTTCAGATATTGAGCACTTTTGTTGCTTCAAATGAACAAAATGCACAAATTACAAATGATGGACTATACCCTTAAACAAGTCCGTTTAAGACCCCTAGCTGGTTTATAGCTCGGACACGGATGACCCTCGCCTTCGGCTCGGGCCGTTATCTGCATCCAGGCCTTAGCCAGTTTTAAACGCACTTGTTCAAAATGGCGAAGCACATATTTTTATTCCCTTATGTATTGCAGAGTTTATTGCCCAGCAAAATTATTTGAAAAGTAACTTATTGACCCTGGTGAGAATAATAAAAACATGAACACAATGATTTGATTTGAATGCTACGTTTTATTTCTCATTATATAGTGTACATTGGAATGATAGAAAAATGAGTGAAATTCAACATGAGAGCATTCGTTGGCACAATTTTTTTTCCCAGAGTATTATTTCAACAATTATTTATCGTAAAGACGACATCAGCAAATGTGACAACCAAACTTAAAATCTCTCCATGATTACCAATCAATCATAACAATTCAATGATTTGAACCATATACTAGCACCCAATATTGCAGTAAAAATGTGTAAGATAATCTCTGGATTAATGTTGTAATATTTTTATTACGATATGTGAAAGGAGATCACACTTTAAACTGTTAACAAAAAAAACCATCACCGCAGAAGGAAAAAAAAATCAATGGGATTTTGATCATTAAAATTTCTGTACAGGATCAAAAAATGACATTATTTAGCAAACAAAGTGATTTTTTTGGTATTAAAATGGTAATTGCATGAAGAATGTTGGAAAGCTAGAAATGAAGTCATGCCATTGGTAATTTTTAGCTTCAAAAATATTTGAATATTATCCTTTTTCTAATGGGCCAGCAGTAACTTAAGCTACAGATTTTCCAGGTACTAAATTTCATTCACCAAACCATAACTTTAAAAAATCAAACCAAACATTTTCTTTTAAGGCTTTGATCCAACTGCTACATCATGTAACTATGGTCAGCAATATAATTTTTGACAAAAAGAAGAAAGAAACCATTTCAGTATATTTGAAAAATAAAAATCATTTGATAAAATATTTTTAGAATCTAAAATCTACAAAATAATTACGGTTTACGTACATTACAGGCAGTGCCTTAAATCAGCAAAGCTCAAACAACTTTTTCAAAAACAACCGTCAGAAAAGCAAGCGGGAAAACAGTATCATTTTTAATCTGCTCAAGGCACTGTATGAAATTACAGGATCTGTAATGGAAGTGTGCTTTTGTTTTCGTTTCGCAAAATGATGTTATTCCAATTTCTTGGTAGTTGATTCACGTATTGTGCCAGTATTTTGTTTTTCATGTTGTGTAACTAAAATTGAAAGGTTACCTTTGCTCAAATTTATGCAGATAAGAGTTGTTAGTTTTTAAGCTCTGATATTATTGGCCAAATGTTTTGAAACCAGTGGGACTGGCCAATCAGCTTCAAGCTTACTTGGTGCATCTGTTTACATCTTGGCCACGGCTGCCTTCGCCTGCGGGAAGAAAAAGGAATCAGAATACATCACTGACTACAAACTGAATTTTTTTAAGGAAATCCCAAACATTTCCAGGACTTGAATTCACAATGCAGTGCGCCACCAAGAGTTTGCCACGGAGCAATAATTTTTCCCAGTGCACTGTGGGAAATGGTTGACAAATTCGCAGCGTGGGACATCTGAAATTGTTAGTTTGTCCGGTCAGTAGTTTTGTAACCGTATGATTCGAGTATATGTTTGCCCTTTTCTTTTTATCAGTATGGTGTTTTTTGTGATACGGCAGAACGCTATGCCCCAATCTATAACATATAAGCTCAAGTTGTCTCCTGATACTCATTAAAATGGGCCATGTTTTGTCGACCATAAACTTGAAAAATGGAATTCATGGCAAACTCTTGGTTGCGCACTGCGTTGTGAATTACCTGAATTCAAAAACAAATGTGTTAAAAAGGACTCCACAAAAAGAAGAATTTCAAAAATTTGCCCTCGTACATTTTGTCAAACTCGGCAAAATCCTTAATGGATGTATTTTGGCCCTTTTGGCCCTTTTTTATTTGTATTAGAACACACAAACATCTTCACAAAGGGAAGTTATCAACAAAAACAAGGGATGTCCCTAAAGTGTGCAAATGTTAAAGTACAGTGGCCACCATATATGGTAACACTCGATGAACATGAAAACAAGGTGATTAGTGTACATACATGTAGGCTCACTATGCTTTACATCACATGCAAAGCAAAACAAACACAGGAAAAATTAGGCAAACTACATATTTTCTTGTTCCCGTTCATGTCAACTTACAGCGTTTGCCTTGTGTTCGTCCAGAGCAGCCTGCAGGCGACGGCCCCACTCCTTGTCACACTGAGACCAGTTCTCAACCTGTTCAAATAGAGAGACACAAATTCAAGTCCATATTACACATTATCAAGTCACAGTCAGTATCTTTGGGTTACCTTCCTCAAGAAATTTCACACTGATAATTTTGTACCAAAATAGAGTGCACTGATTTTAGGGATTTAGCTAAAATCCGTTGAATAAGGTGCCACTCAAAATTACCAAATTTCAATTTTTGTTTTTCATAATTTATTTTATTCAAAATGTAGGTTAGTGGGTGAAGGAAAATAACTGAAAATCAAAATTCACTCCCAAAAATCTGCTGAATAAGGGGTTACTCAAAATTATCAAATTTACATTTTTGTTTTTCAAATGTTTTTCTTGAAATTGTAGGTTGGTGGGTGAAGGAAAATAACTGAAAATCGAAATTTACTCCCAAAAAAAATGTGTTTGGACTCTTTTTCCACAAGTGCACACAAGAGGCACAGCCTCATCCGTTTGCAAAAAAAGACAGAAGTACGGTCATATCTGTGTCCATGAAGATTGCAATCGGTCATTTCCAACATCCTATCACATGATGAAACACAAAAAGTAATCTGGGAACATGTACAAGAGGGGCGGACCCACGACTTCAACACACTATCGCTGAACTCGGCATACTTGTATTCGGATTGTTCTGAATAGCAAGTCAGTTTCTTAAGATCAAAAATTGGAGAGGATGGGTGGGTCAAAAAAAAATGGGGGGGGGGGAAGGAAATCAAAATGTTAAAACATTGATGATTTTGAATGGCCCTTTGACTGAGTTTGTCTCAGCTATTGTGGTCACATGACCAAAATCCATAATCTCATTGGTGTTTGAGTGGCAAGTGGGAAGGGAACATAACTGGCCTTCCATGTGGGGGCGGGGTCTATACAGAAAGAGAGAAGGAGGGAACATACTGCTCGCTTCTGGATGAACTCCTGGGCATTCTTGAGATGTCCGGCCATGTTGGAGACCAGCGCGTCTTGGTCAGCAGGGGTCAGCACGTTGTTCCACAGGTGGCCGGGCTGGGTGAAGTTGTCGTCATCCTTGGTGTTGTAGCGAGCCACATCGCCAGAGCAATGGAAGGTCTGCTGGGCGTACTTCAGGTCATCCTGGGGACCGTTGAAGCTGTTAGGGAAGTAGTTGGGAGCTCCAGCTGTCACAAAAACAAACCCCCCAAAATGTCGTCATAACAAATAGTGATTGATTGCAGTACTCGTGGCTCTCTATTTGATCCGTGTGATCCAGCCTGCATCCATCGCCATTGTAGTAGGCAAATATTGTATAGCACTGTGAGCAGCATAGGTCATAAACAAGCCTTTTAAGCTGTGATGCATGGCAAAAACCAAGAGAAAATTCTGAGCCAACACTCAGTACAGTGGAACGTTGCTATACCGAACACCGCTATACTGAACATTCGGCTAGACCGAACATCAGCCTTGGCTCCCAGTTTTTGTGTACAAAACGTACTGAACATTGTCATGATTGTTGTTGGAAAAGTCAACAGAAGAGCGACAAATGGCTATCATTTCCTTAACGAATAGGAAAAAGCCACCCATGTAAACTCAAAAAGTATGTAGTTACATGATTCAATAGTCGCACGTGTTCGAAGTCGTCTTTCAGTAACTACCAGGGCGTACTTGGTGAAGTTTTGCTACGGAATTGAAAATATTAATGGACACATTTGGCAAATCAGCGCGTGGTTTGAAAATGCAACTACACAATAACAATGATCAAAAGAGGGCGCCACTATTTAATTTAAAGTGTGAAAATCACTATACCGAATGATCGATATTACGAACAATTTCTGTGGATCCCACGATGTTCATTGTAGCGGCGTTCCACTGTAATATTAAGTGGTCACGATTATGACAACTGTATGCGGCACAAGTAGTGACCCTTTAACATCACGAATTTGTGGTTATTTACATGAACGTAAGCCCTACCCTATAGTTTACAATGTACAGCTTGGTTGCGAACCAAACGCTTGCCTACTGCAATGGTGGCTGATCACCGATAAACCAGAAGGTCATGTGGTACTTTGACGTTGTACGATTGGACCTTATTAGTTTTAAAACAGATATATAAAGGCCTTTTAAGGTGATATTCCTACATGTAAGAACTACTCTATGAATCAAAAATAGTTGCAAATTTATACACTTTGACAAGCTTATTTTCATACCAGAGAGTCCAGAAAGCTTGCCAATAATGAATTACAATAAATGAAAAGAGCTTACTCATTCCACGCCATCTCCAAGAAGGAAAAAAAAAACACCGGCAAATTTGAATTCTATGTAAGTGTATGAGGCACTTCCATTAACTGTTGGGAAAATAACTTTCATCTTTTCAAGAGTTCCTTTATCTTTCAAAGCATTTGGTGTCCTCCCTGTTGCCTGTAAACATTGCCTCGTGCCACTTGGCCCAAACCTTGACCAGGTGAACCTGCTGTACTTTTTCTGAGACACTGCGTATAGGAAGGGGTTTGTAAGATGTAAGCTCTGGACTCACTCTGGTTGTCGGTGACGCACTGTGGTCCGTCCCGCTGGTAGTTGCGAGTCTTGGCCTTGTAAGGGCAGTTGACCGGGATCTGAAGGTAGTTGGTTCCCAGACGGTGGCGGTGCGTATCAGGGTAGGAGAACAGACGTCCCTGTAGGATACCAGGCAATTGGATATTGTTTTAGTACTAAATTGACTTCTGGAATTAGACAAAACAAAATCACATGATATTTGAGCAGATTATCTCTAGAAAGAGCACAGTTTGTCAAAAAAACCTCCGGGCACTGTTGAAAGATTTTGGAGGATTGAGGCTGAATGACAAAAAAATTGTCAGTTGATTTTGCAGGATGCATTGTGTTTGAGTCCCTAGGATGTACCCAGCATTGTTTATTGTTCATTCATGCATAAGTAAGCAAGTAAGCCTTGCATTATGCTCGATATCAACCACACTGCTTCTGAATGTCATCGGCACGGCCCCAACCTATCAACAGCGGTTGTTGGAGGAATTTGAAGGATTGATGCAACAGGCATGCAACTGGGAAGTCACAAAAAAAGAGGAAATTCAAATCTTTCCAAGACTTTGTACAGTGTAAATTTCTATTTTCAATGGCACACATTGGAAGTGAAAAAAGAGGAAATCAGCTGATCCGAGGAAAAGTTGCATGCCCGAGGCAATGGTCACCCTTCCACTGAACAGATTCAACAAATAATGGATGATTTTGGAGGTTTGAGGCTGCATCCAATTTTGACATGGTAACAATTGAAGGATTTTGCAGGATTGAGGATGGTTCCTAGCCTAAAGGGCCTAGGGGGTTAGGATGAGCCCAGGTTGATCCAGATCAACTCATCAAACAAACAAAACGTGAACCAACCTGCAGCATCTTGTCAGGTGAGGCCTCGATGCCGGGAATCATGTGAGCCGGGGCGAAGGCGATCTGCTCCACTTCGGCAAAGTAGTTCCTGGGGTTGAGGTTGAGCACCATCTTGCCGACAGGGATGAGTGGGTACTCCTTCTGGGACCAGACCTATGGCAACGGGGGGAAAAGCCAGCCATGCAAATGATGTGCAGCAAGTACAACTAATAATTGAACCGTTGGAACCCTGCCCCCCCCCCCCCCCCCCAGGATTCATGGCCTTGATATACCCACACTTCACAGTGTCACAACATTTTCACCTGGATCCATTGATGTATAAAGCCCAAAGCAAAGGCTCTTGAAAACAAAACTTTAATATATCACTGCCAACACCATTTTTTTTTTTTTTTGGACCATGGGCAACGTGCACATGTTGTTGACAGGCCATATGGACACTGTGCACATGTGCCCTTCACTCATATTCCGGACGAGTTCTGGACAAGTTGCGGACATTGTACCGGGTACATGTATACGTTGCAGGATTCTGAACAACTTCCCAGCAATCTTCCCGCAATAAAGACATCGGTATGCATGACGGTGAGTCAAGCAGTTGCTAATAAAAAATGTTCTCGGAACATTTCCGGAACAAATGCAGAGCTTCTTCTGGGCAAAGTGAATGATTCTACCCGCATCTTGTTCTGAAGGCGTCCCGGATATGAATTGAAACGAGTCCTTGCAAAAAGAGAGATACATGGAGGACTCGAGTGCATTGCAGTGGAGCATGCTTTGTGCGGTCACAAAATGGCCTTTTGTTATGATCACAAAATGGCATCCACTGTTCGTGCATGGGGTCCATAGCTCTTATGCGCAGTACAGGAGTTGTACATCACCCTTACCTTGGTCAAGTCGAATGGATTGTCCCTGTGCTTCTCTGCCTGCTCAAAGGTCATGACCTGCAGCTTCACGCTCCAAGATGGCTGCCGAGATAGAGAGAGAAAAATAAACAATGGCCACTAATAAAAACATCTCAAGGGGAGGCACGTCACCTACATAGGAAGGGCAAAGAGCATGAATCGGAAATTACTGGCACACGAACATACTTCAGTAGGGTTAGAAATTCAAAATAGCCAAGATATATTCTCAGACTCTTGAGACTATGGTGTTTGATACTTACAAAGTTGTTGGTGGCGATGGCATTGTGCAGATCACGGATGGCGTAGTCAGGGTCGCTAGAGGCCAGAGCATCAGCCTGGGCTGCATTCAGGTTGCGGATGCCTTGGTCAGTCTGTCGATAAAGAGAAATAAAGAGAATTAGATAACTGACATGAATCTTGAGCTCAATGTACATTTATTTCATTTGAATAATTTTCATGTTTTTTTTTATTCTGTTTAATGAATATTCATAAGAGTGAACTTTATTGTCAGACACATTCTTGTACACATGCAACGTGCCTAAAACTTGACTTGTGAGGCTGACTTTTGACTGATAAGCCGGTAACCTCCGTTGTAGACGACAATGATTGCAAAGGTCGAAGATTATCAGATTTTTTTTGCAAGTCAAAGGCAATAGGTTGCTTTTATCTTTCAGACAGGGTGGAACATTTATAGAAATTTCCAGAAAGGGTACATGAAGTTCCCAAATCCAGACAAAATTTAGGGACAGGTTTTGAATTTTTTAAAGGAAAGCAAGACAATTCCGAAAACAAATTTCAGCACTTAAATAGATAACAAAAAAATGACAGTTAGTACGACTATTAAAGACAGTGTTGTGCATGATGTTCAATCAGCCTATAACCTTAAGGGTTCTTCAGGACTACCCTGCTAAATCCAACAGAGTCTAACGGTTACTTCCTGCTCAATCCAACAGAATCCAACTGTGCCTTATTTTTAGTTGTCTGCTGGATCCAACAGAGTCCAACTTGGCGTTATTTATCAGTACCCAACAGAATCCGACTCTGAATATGTACATGTACATTTGTACAAGGGTTTTACTGCTCAATCCAACAGGCTCGTACGGGTTTATGACATACTTGGATCCTGTTGGATTCAGCAGGGTTAGGGGCATTGCATGTCAACACATGTAATAATAGTGGACAAAAGTGTAAAAGTATACATTGACAGATGTCCATTTCATGTGTATAGCACCTGTACTAAATTGTATTACATTGTGTTAATACTCACTGAAAAATCAATCACCCACGAGTGCTCAGGAGGTTTGGGGCGCTACAGTGAGTAATAGGCAGGGCAGTTTGGGGCGCTACAGTGAGTAATAGGCACCATGGTCTAATTGATGACTAGATGACGGATGGAGTAAGATTTGAAAAATACACTTTCAGGTTCACTCACTGAAAGCTTTGTCATGGACATTACATGACACTGGAATTGCCCTTATATTTGCTTTTGTTCATGTATTATTATAATGATTATAGAATATATGCACAAGTGCAAGTACAAAAAAGTATGTGAACATGTACACGCCAATTGTACAATGGAATTCTGACAAAATCAAAATGACTTGCATATTATTAAAAGGCAGATTACAAACGAAGGTCCCGTTGCATTATCACAAATGAACAGTAATTCCAAAGTGCAACACAACTGATAACACACGCACCAGGCAAGGCTGAATGCTGCATAGAGCTAGGGTGACACATGACCTTGTTGTAAATATAGACAACATCAGTGGAGTCTAGCACGTAGGCACAGCAATATAAGAACACTGCGTACATGTTTCAAAGTTCTGCCATTACGAAAAATTGCCGAAGGCCATTCCAATGATCAAGGGTTTGTTTGGTCTGATCTTGTGACCTTTGAGCAGTAACTTTTTAAATAATTGGCTGACATGTGACATGCACATGTACATGTACATGGGTATCAATTTGAAACAACTTACCCGATTTATCTAACTTGTTTGGGGGGGGGGGGTGTAAACGTAGACACATGAAATAGATACAAAATTTGTACAACAGTACAATGTATGCCTATGATCAATACATGTACATCTGTATAAATGTTAGACCCCACAAAAAAGATCATTTTCTTAAAATATACACTATGCAAAGCAATACATGCAAGTGGCCAAGGATTGTGATCACTAATATTTTCAAAAAAATTACCTTTAAAGTTTAGGATCTGTACATTACTTTGTAGTCTAGGGTTTGAATAGTGCCCAACTTAAGCTATCCCTGCCGACATGTTTCAAAATCCTAAAGTTGGTTTTGGGAGATTTACATTGTGTAGGACAATGAATAGGTATTAGAAGACAAATTACACTCTGAGTAGGCCTATATGCTCAAAATGCACTCGATGACAATTTTATCTACAAAATAAATAGTTGTGAAGATCTTGATTAATGGCATCGCACCCACTATTGGCTGGTTTTTTTTTCTTAATTTTGGTGGAGAACAGCACAATAAATACCAAAATGACATCTGGGTCTCAGTGTTTTAAAGTACGTGTGACTTCAAACACTGGGGTCAGCTTGAACTAAAGCATATTGCTAACTCAATGCACTCATTGTCAAGAGTACTAGTACCAATAAAATGTGCAACAATAGATGGTGACTTTTATAGCCCAGCTTACAAAATTCCTCAAAAGATCAACCACCAAAAATACCTTGACACCCTGAATAGAAAAACCTAACTCTAAACCTTTTTGCTGTGCATCAAGCGTGAAAACAAACAAGCATACTATTTCGTGCCTCGGAATATTGTTTTCGGCTTGAACCTTTCAAAGGATGATAAACATATTTGCAAAAGCCAAAATATGCACTATTCAGTGGTGAAAAAGATTCAAGTCTTTGACAAACATTTGTTATGGGGTCAAGGATTTTTCCTTACAAAATGAACTCAGCAGAAAGTTTAACAATCACTAGCCGTGACTGCCAACGTGGCTTGGCTACTGGGACGGGGAATAAACTAGAACACAGCTACAGCCTCAAGGCTATCCAAAATTCCCGTCGAAAATCGTTTTTGTTTTACTGTTTCATGACATGAATTGAGTTCATTTCTATGATTTTTGGGACTTCTATTCTCCTGATACCGGTAAATATAGTACTGTGTGCTAACGTCTGGCTAACTCTGGTTTCACGAATGTAGACTGCAACTGGGAATTTCAAATACATCCAATACATAAAACACTTTGAGAGGGGCAAAACGATCTTGTTTTGAGACATTGAATTTCTTCAGGTATATTGACAGAGTTAGTTCACTTTAAATTTTAACAGGATATTGAAATTTCTGGATTATCTTAATGAAGTACGAGAATCATTAAAATCATACCTTTGAAAAAGTTGCCTTCAAATATTACACAAATGTACTCCGTATTAGCATTTTGTGAGAGAAGGTAACATTACATGTAGATGACTGGGTCTCCAAAGTTTAGATACACTAAATTTACCATAAAATATAAACTGATCCAACTCATCCTGATGAGAAAAAATCACAGAAATTCAAGTACTGCAGTCTTTGATGTAAACGGTCAGAAAACGACCCATGTCTAATGTGTCGAAACTACATGTAACTTCTCTTGCTTGAGCAGGAATCAGCGAATTTGTTAAAATGCCTGGATATGGACAATATCAAAACTAATATTGTCGTCATCCGGGTACTTTTACTGACATAATATTGCAGTCATCCGGGTACATTTTACAAGAGCAAACATGTACAATACGCTGATTTATTTTTTGATATAAATAATAATTTCTGATTTCAATCCAGAGGCCAATTTTATCAAGCTGCTAAGCACATCAATTATTTGCTTGGGAAAAAAAATAACCAGCCAAAATGTTATGCAATGTGTAATGCACGTGAACGGTTCTCAGCTAAACTTTCTTAACTTTGCTAAGCAGTAAATACCCCTGCTTAGCAGCTGCAGGAACTTTGGTGTTAAAAGTACAAACCTTGAAATGGAACTTGCAGTAGACGCCTTGCCCGTCCTTGTTGACCATCTTGAAGGTGTGGCTGCCGTAGCCGTTCATGTGACGGTAGCCGTCAGGGGTCCCGCGGTCACTGAACAGGAAGCTGACCTGGTGGGTAGCCTCTGGGCGGAGGGTGATGAAGTCCCAGAACATGTCAGGGTCCTGAATTGTTGGTGGTGGGGGAAGGAATTTTTAAGAAGGTAAAGAGATTATGAGTTTCAGGGTTTAGGCAAACGGATAGAAAACAAGAGTTGTCTATAAGGTTTTGGCGACTCCATACTAGAATTGAATAGAATCGAATCTGAATTCTAACACCACCTTTTGGGAAGAATTGACTCCATGATGTTGCAAATTTCAGCCATTCCCCCCCCCCCATCCCACTCCCTCCGCGCCCCTCCCCCTCAAACACACACCCCAGAGAATCAATTCCAGACACGTCAAAACAAATTTAATGGGATACGTGACCATGTTAGGATTGTGCATCTTACCGATCTCGTATAACCGAATAGCTACTATGGTTGAGTTGTGATATCAATTGCTTCGCCATGCTTTGTGCCAATTGAATTAGAGTCGATTCCGAATGAAATCATGACTCCTGGATTAGACTCAGAAAAAAACATGTGTCTTTCTCTTTAGATTATCCACCTGACACTACATTCCAAATGTATTTCTTGTATAATTATCAATAGGATCATCATGTTGTCTTTTAAATGCGTGGTACGATTTAAGCCTTTACAGATTATTGAACTTTTGTTTCAAGGTCAGAAGGGAATGAAATAGTCTCCAAGTGTTTGACAGTCGAGTCTGAATGTAAAATCAACATCAGGATTTGAAAATCAAGAAAAACAGAGGCAGAAATATAATCAAGAAACCTAAAACCTAAAATCAACATACACGTACAATAAGATGGGCACGGTGTACAATGTAGCAGTAAAGGGTTGCAGAAAAAGTGAGGGAGAATTAGAAAGATTGAACAGATGCTCCACCAAAAGACAGTAAGAATAGACAAACAAACTGACAGAATGACAGACAGACAGACAAGCAAACCTTGAGATGAGTGACCGGGTTCCTCTTCTGGGTGTGGATGAAGCTAGGGAAGAAGATTGGGTCCCGGATGAAGAAGATCGGGGTGTTGTTGCCCACCAGGTCCCAGTTGCCATCCTCCGAGTAGAACTTGATGGCAAAGCCGCGGGGGTCACGGGCCGTGTCGGCTGAGCCCGACTCACCACCTTCCGACAAAACAAGGCAACGGATTTGTCATCAAGTTTAACCCTAACCATCCCAAATCCTCCAAAATCCTTTTTGCAAATTTGAGGAATTTGCAGGATGGAGGTTACATGGCAAAAGTGCGTTGCTGATTTCGGAGGACGCACTGTGTCAAGGTCTTGGGCCGGATCTTGTGTCGTTTATACTCAACCTAGCACAAAGTTAGTCCTTGATTATACTTGAAATCCTCCGCACTGCTCCAGGATGTCACTGCCTCTGCCTCAGCCTATTGACAGTCATAGCCGGAGGACTTTGCAGGATTCAGGCAGTGGTCACCTCTCCACGGACCATATTCAAGAAATAATGGAGGAATTTGCAGGATTGAGGCTATATGCTATTTTTCCATGAGGCCAACTGAAGTTTTGCAGGATTGAGGCTACATCCTAGCAAAAAGGCCTAGGGAGTTGGGGTTAATGTAACCTATCAGCACTGTATTACATTGTATTACATTGTATTGTTTTTCTCTGCTGACTCCATAAAACCCTAGAGTGCTCGGATGGTTTTGGGCTGTACAGGAAGTAGCAGGCAGGACAGTTTGGGGCAGTACAGAGATTACGGCTAAATCTTCCTAAACTGAGCACTAAGCGTAAACATCATAGCAAATTATTTGTGCTTCATGCTTTAAGGAGCATCAAACCCTATGTAAAACCTGTACACAGTTTCAAAATGTGTTATTGTTTCTCACATCTCAATGCGGAAAAACAAAATGTTTTTACTATGGCATCAACCAAAGCAATGAAACTGTCCGATTTAAAGGCATACATGGGATCATTTGCATTCGTCCCAAAAGTAACCTACCAAATCATTATCAATAATATTACTTGGATTAAAGATCGTACTGATGCTAAACACCCCGTGAAATCATTCCATCTTGCTTGCTGTTACCATGGTTACTAAGAAAAAATCAAGAAATGTACATGTATGGGTGATATCCAACGATCAGTCAATGGACTGATTTTTGGAATGAAGAGCGCTATTGAAAAAATCGTGTTCAGTGATCAAAAGGTTGTGCGTGGTTTTTCACTATTTTCTCGAAAAGTGTAATATCCACTGAGCTGAAACTGCAACAGGTTCTTTGGATTTTGAGCTGGTGTTATTACTGGAGAAGAAAAAAAAAGCATTAAAAGCAAATGATCCTATATATGCCTTCAAGTAAACACATTCTGACTCATTAGCCCATTCTCTTCCTGGAACAAAAGCATGGCAAAATTACTAAAAATGTGTTAGCTTTCCAAAAATCCAGTCATTGAAAGAGTTTCTAAGGTTTCAAGTTCAACAACAAGAGGTTTCTTTTGTGTCAGGAGGATTCTACCAATTCAACAGATCCTGAAAACCAGTTCCAATTAGAAACTTTTATCCCCCCCCCCAAAAAAAAACCCAGAGAAAACAAAATCCAGCAAGCATGACTTGGAATGAACCTCCTCTCTTCTGAGGGATACTTCAGGAACCTTTGAAGCTGAGGACTTACCGACGGTTGAGAATCGCACAGCAACTGGAGTCTTCTTGCCGATGGACTCAAAGACGCAAGCCTTGGTGTACTTGGAGATGTCATGGGTGACCTCAAAATAACCAAAAGCACCTGGCAGAGAAAGCAATAGATGTATTGTATTCACAATGCATAGATTACGTGTGCAGGGTTCCCACAGAAATCCCAAAATGAAATCCCTGGACTTTTCCGGGACTTTTCCGGGACAAAATCAGGGCTTCCCATGACCGATTCCCAAGCCGTTTAGGGAGCCTTTTGCTCTGGAGGCAAGGGATACCACTCCCTTTCAGCCTGCCAGTTTGGCACAAGACCATTGAGCACCGCAAAAGTATGCAACATATACACTGTACGTGCATAAAGAGGGGTAAAAACTGGAACACTGCCACAGCCAAATATGATCGTTAGAACTGTTTCAATCATCAAACTTAATTCTAATCTTTGGAATAAATTGGTTCAGCATGACTCTAGAACACTAGCCTGAAAAAAGGTGTCAGAGGCGTGCTTCAGACCCTCCGCCCCCCAACCCCCTCCCAACCCATCAAAACACTAACCTGCCCCCTTGGCATGAACGACACGCTCGGGGATTCTCTCCCGTCCAAAGTGAGACATCTCGTCCGAGAAGACGAAGTCTTGCATCAGAACGGGTCCCCGCTCCCCCACCGTCATGGTGGCCAGCTTGTTGTCAATGGGCATACCGGTGGACGTGGTCAGACGTTCCATCTTGTCCTGTAAAACAGATTTGTTCGAATCCATCTTTAATTTTATAGAGCTGATAAGCACATAATTAAAGATTCCCCCCCCCCCCTTAAAAATGCAATCAAATTTGATACACTTATGAAGCATATGTATAAAACGAGCATGTTCTTCCACCATTTGTCTACTCGTGTGAAAACATTTATTGAAATTGATCTACATGCCATCAGACGTAATAATTGTATGAATGTTTTACAAAAAGAACCCAATTTTCATGGCTGTCCATGGAATGCAATTTTTTAAGCTACATTTTTCAGAGATGTATACATTGTACATGTAGGCATTCAAAGACATGAATGAGATTCCAAGTGGCTGTTGGACAGCTGAAGTTTGTGGTATTTCTATTAAAATAGAGATACACAACTTGTGATTTGAGTTTAGCAAATTATGTGAAATTTTCACAGTTACTGGTCAATAACATGAACATATCTTGTAATTTTTTTTTCCTAATTAGGTCACTTTCTTTTTGACTCAATTTTTGCAGTTATGTCCAATTCAGGTTGGGCGGGGTTGTTTGGGGGTTTTCAAAAACTCCTTTAAAATTGCCCCTCCCCCTCCCCATAGATACCCCCTCCCCTAATGAACTTAGGCCCTGATTTAATAGTCAATCTGGAGGGAGGACATTTTTCAACACTTGTGTTGTTTATAATAGAATTCTTTGTTTCTTCTTTCTTTCCTGTATTTTTCTGCTTTTCTGGCCACACTACATTGTACATTTAAATGTATGTGTTGGGAGGGGGCACATGTATGTCTGTCAGTGGGGGGGGGGGGGGGGGGGGGGGGTTCATTTACATAATTTTTGCATAGTTCTCAAACAACCCCACCCCATCAGAAAAGGACATCTTTTTTCTAGGCCAAAGTTTCTGACTATGTACCGGTACATACACATACCCTGATTTATAGTTTCTGTCAAATCATTGTGTAAAGTTTGTACTTGTAACATGTACACGTAATCAAGTTTCATGAACACTTTGACAGCTGATTTTCACCTACCGGTTACATATCAGGTGTTGAATCATGAAATGTAGGTGAAATTTAGTAACCCCAATGTAACTAAATCTACAATGTCATGTTCATGAATGTACATGTACACGCAGGTACAAAAGTTATGTAAACATGTACTGCAGTGCCTGTACAATACATTTATGAAGGTCAGCCGATGACATTGCAGAAATTTCATAACATTTTATTGATGACAATCGTTTTTGTGGCAATGTGGGCCACAGACTGTGCCATTCCGTAACACAAACATCCATCTGAGAGCTCAACTTTCATAACCAAGGTCACAAACGTTTACGCAAGAACTCTATCGTACCTGGCACAGAATTTATGGTTATATATCAAATCATGACAGGCAGCGGTGCATGACTTGCAATTGTTCCTGTTTTTCACCAGGCCCCTGGCATGCCTGGGGAAAATTGTAATTGTGCAGTCAATGTATACATGTATTTATAAAAAAAATACATATCATTTTTTGCAAGAAAATAAAACAAGCTTTTCACAGATCCACTAAAGTGTAAACAACATGTACATTTTATGTAGATGTTTGTACTGCAGTGCTGAAGTTATTATGGAATCAATGTTATCATTACCCTGTATGAGTATGTTACATAATGTAAACATTTATATATATATATATATATATATATATATATATATATATATATATATATATATATATATATATATATATATATATATATATATATATATATATATATATATATATATATATGAAAACAAACACTAAAACAGATCAATAATTTGAATTGCATTTGAACAGTAAGGACAATGCATCAGGTTACGTGAATATGTTAATTATACTGTGACACTGTGAACAACTGATGACAGACCACACATAAATTAAGGGAAACAATTTACTGAACAATTTGTGTAAATACATTGTATGTGCACCATAACAGTGGGTAGGCCCACACCTGCAAAAACCTGAAAAATATACAGAAGCATGTAACTATATACTGTATGCGTGATCATTTTCAACACAATTCACAATTCCCTCCTTCCTTAATTAATATGTAGACATTATGCATTTAAGGGAATATATACAACATTTTGCTTTGCTGTAGTTTTCAGAAATGGATGGATTTGGGGGGGGGGGGTAGTATTTTATAGCAAATTTTGTTACACTGACTTGTTTGAAGTTTTGTGTTCGTAGATGCTGGAAAAACCAAGAAAAACAATCATGTTCTTGTAGTCTGGTTCCCTGACCCAACTTAAATTGAAATTGAACAAATTGTAGACGTCTGAGAATCATAAGGTCAGGGAACCAGTCTAGCTGGCTTGTTCCCCTTCATAGGTGTGTGATCAATCGCAAACGAAATGCCCACTAACTAAATTTGTAAAATGGGGGCAGTATTTTAACAAGCCATTTTTTTTCCAAAGCTGGTCGGCCGACCACCATTGGAAATTGATGCAAAAATACCACCTTTGTTGAAAATGCCAGCAAACCAGGCTCCACGATTTTGCAGGATGCTTTAGACTGTCATTCGCTAACAGTCCAGTGAGGTATTTAATAATAATTTTTTTTTTTTGTTTTTTTAAAGGATAGGTACGTAACTCGATTCTGCAAGAAAGTCGTATCTCGGGCGAATACGCTCCGTGCAACAAGGTCGTATCTCGTGAAACATGACGTCCATTGACTTTGCGTGTAAATCCGGGTAAAGTGAGATACGACCTTTTCACATTGAAAACTCGCATTTCACGTACATGATGTCACTTGCCATTTTAGAAGATACGACCTTGTTGCACAGACAGGACAATTTTAACCTTAAGGCCATAACAAAAATAGTTCTGCTTCCGGTTTCCCTACTTACCCTATTCTGACAGCCCCTATTATTGGAATAATGAGGAAAAAACACCCAATAACATCAATTCCTAATTTTTACCCTTGACTACACGCAGACACCTCCATATGATTGTACACACACAAAATTGACTCCCCCCCCCAAAAAAAAATTCCTTCCTACCTACCTACCCTATTTTAGAATGCCATGTAATCCGAAGCAGAACTATTTTTGTTTTGGCCTCATCAATGCACACAGGAACTTGCATGCCAGTGCTTGCAACCTTTACTTACATGTACACAAGGCCAGTCCAACCTTTCTGGCTGTTGACTAATTTCCTTGAATACCACTAATAAGTATGGAACGCCAAAGAGGCATTTAATGTGATCATCGAATCGGTGATGGACTTTTGCAATCGGTGATGCATATTCACGATCGGTGATGGACTTTCGCGATCGGTGATGGACTTTTACTGGTGATGCATATTCACGATCGGTGATGGACTTTCGCAATCGGTGATGGACTTTTACTGGTGATGCATATTCACGATCGGTGATGGACTTTCGCGATCGGTGATGGACTTTTACTGGTGATGCATATTCACGATCGGTGATGGACTTTCGCAATCGGTGATGGACTTTCACGTGATGCATATTCACGATCGGTGATGGACTTTCGCGACCGGTGATCAACTTTGCAATCGGTGATGGACTTTCGCAATCGGTGATGGACTTTTACTCAACGACTGGTCATTGCAGCTTTGATCACCGATCGCGAAAGATCATCACCGATCGCGAAAGTCCATCACCGATTAAATGCCGCTTTTGGCGAAACAGGAACGCCAAAGAGGCATTTAATGTGATCACCGAAACGGTGATGGACTTTCGCGACCGTCGCATCTGTGTGTTGCGTCGTAATCATTTACACGTATTATACTTATCTATGTTCCTTGCTCTGGAGCAAGTTAAATTTAATTGCAAATGCGCAGAGCCTTTATTTTGCTCTTCTGTTTTTTTAATACCTTTCGCGAAAATCTGATAAATTTTACTTCCACGTAACCGATGTAATTTTCGAACCATGGTGTGTGTGTTTGATAAGAGTTAAATTTAGATTAATCATTTTTAAGATTAGAAAATATTATCATTGTTTTTCCAAAGAGCAATGATTCGATGTGTACATTTTTGTAATGCAGCATGGTACTCAATCTGCTAAGACCACTGTGGGAAATATAGAGCTAGCTCTATGGTTTGTGCCAGCCATGTCTTCTTTGGCAATCAGTCACCTTGTCCCTTTAGCCCTCGCAACAACACGTGCTTCAGGTCTCCACTTACCAGCTACCATTTTTTTTTTGCAGTCGTGGAATTGGGGCACGATCGAGGTCAATCATTTTTACATGGGGGCTCACAAATTGGGTGTTCCACATGCAAACGCGTTCCATGCACCAACTGACGTTCAGCAAAATAATGGAATCCTTTTCAATTTTAAGAACATACCTTTACATCATGTACATGATGTATAGGCTACAACGGTCTACAATCGAGCCGCAACTTCCGAGATCTTTTCGGGCTTGTCTTAAGTGGCCTTGTCAATTGTATAGTGCACAAACAGAACAGACATTCGCTATTTTAACCCAATTGGTTACATTATTCTTTAACTAATGAATAAAAAATTATTCACCGGTGTGCACAGTCTTTTTAAACATCGGAGTTATCAAAGGAAAATATTGAATAATGTATAAATAAAAACACACTAACATTTTCCAATAGGAGTACAACCGCAACAGTTACCTATGTACCGACAACCTAAACAAAGCTTAGTCTGCCCATGACGCCGGCAGCCTCCGTCGCCCAGAAATGACAGCATATTTAAGTTGAAGAAAGTGGGGTTTTTTTGGGGGGGGGGGGTTGGCTGGGATATTTTCACCCACTTACTTTGATAATATTTTTAAAAAAAACCTCTGCACCGATAGCAAAAGTCCATGCAAGGTTGATCACCGATCGTGAAAGACCATCACCCATGGGCGTCACAAGGGGGGAGCACGGGGGCGCTTCCCCCCCCCCCCCCCCCGGAAAAGCCCCCCCCCCCCCCCCAAAAAAAAAAGATGGGGGAACTGTGTACTGTCCATCATGTGCTCGCTTAAGTGTGCTTAAGTGACCAGGGGCCCCACAT